ATTGACATGTCAAGTTAAGCTACATGAGTCGGACCGATCATCGGACTGATCGTCAGACATTGATGCGATTCTTCGTCAGTCTTTGATCACAGAAAAGCCGCATAGCGCTAACAATTCGTCTCAGAGTCCATGGAATGAGGAAGTAGCAAAGTAAGCCAGAAAATATGGGTGGTGGGGGAGGGAACGGTTCAAACGACAACTAAGACTTTTTGCGCGGAAGGAAGCCCAGCCCGATGCTATATCTCTCTCACAGGAAAGCCTTACCATTCTGTTGTCCAATCCTTCCTTCGCTCTCAGATCGACCCAGTGACATTCCACAAGCAACACAGCACGATCTTCAGAACAGTCGAGATCTGTGGACTCCCTTCTCCCGGTCGGAGCAGTTGCGCGAGTTGCTGACGTAGGAAGCTCTTTACTCGTCCCCTGTCACCGCGTGGTGCAGCTGTTGAAATCCACATTAGGAATCGGGAAAGTTGACGATGTCAGACCTCACCCGCATACTCAGAGTGGAGGAGGGGCGATTCTGCCAAAACTATGGTGAGCATCAATGGCTCAGGCTCGGGACTATCAATGGCTCAGGCTCCTACTTGGAAACTGTATAAAGGAGAACGGTTTCGATGCTCCTATGCGCGTTTTTATTGGATCGGTGACGCCTACTGTTGATGGATGTTTGTGTGGATGAATAGCGAGTCTGTAACGAATCCCAAAAAGGAGGACGCAGCGAAACGTTTCTTTTTTAACAAGGACACCACTCAGATTTGAAGAAATCGATCTATTGTTAAGAATCACTTCCTCTCGGATATCCGCACAAAGTGACAGATGCCCGCAAAGGGCATTGTGTGAAAGGAGAATTCGAATAGGTTCCTTTCTAAACTTTCTCGTGCCCTATTCAGGTTCTTTTTTCATGAAAATTCTTTGGATCGTAGCTGGGCAGTTGCATAAGTACGGAAAATGATAGAGATGGCTTACAGCATACTTTAAATGTAGTAGAGACAGAAACCCACAATTGGAAGTTTCATCATCCCGATGTGAGGCGGAGGTGGGTTGGTTAGTTTCAAGCGGCACGTTTGCCATTCGCGCGGTCTCCAAGCCTATATCCCGGGTCGATTACCAGCCAGGCCATCGCCCCTCAGTTCTTACCTGGATAAAGCGCCAGTGTGAGCCTTTGCTGTTTGTAGATGATTAGCGGTTAGACATCACCTCCGTTTAGCGGTTAGCACATCTACCCCGTGGTTCCTGGCCATTGCCGCATTTGGAGAGAATGGAACGCAGCTGCAAAAATGTGCCTAAAAGTGCATGGAGACGGGACTGGAGGGTAGTGGTGCCTGGATGCCATCTCCATACTCCGCCCGCGCTGCCGCACACCAGGCAGGCGCATAGCCACAACCAAAACCTCTACTTGTCTGTGCTCCCTTATTTCTGGTTGTTCTCTACCGCTGACTTCTGCACCAAGTAGCAGTACCTGAGTTTCACAGATCAGATAACTTCTATATTCGGTATAACCGAAAGATACTTTTAGTCCGATTTTTTTGACTCCTGTACTTCACCCTTCAAACCCCCTAAATCAATGGTTAGTGTGAACCATCCGTGCTTCAGATGGGTGTCGAACTGGCGACCTGCGGAGCCGTAGTCGCCTCCGTCGTCACCCTGCTACTATCGCTAGCGGCTATTTATTCGCTACAATCCGAAATCTCCTCCATGTGGTTCGAATTGGACGCGGAAATAGACAAGTTTAAGGTCAGACATTGAGAAAAATCTGCTGCCCAAGCAAACATTCTTGCGACTTCTACGCCTAAAACGGCTCTTTCAGTACCTCACGAACGACTCATGGAAAACGATGCTTACACTCGGTGTCGGTACTCCGTCCAATCGTGTTCGGCGTCAGTATGGTCACTATGGTGGTTATGGTGCTACTGGAGTCAACACACAGAGCAGCGAAGAAGAAGAAGGGTAGATGCCCCTATCGGAATTCCCAAGAGATTCACGTTTAAGTTAAGAGAAAGTTTTTCTGCAGTGATGTCTCCACGCGTTATCAAGGGGCGTGAATCACAGCCAGAATTTATTATACCGAACATATGTCAATGCCTCGCCTACAGCACTTGTCCTCCGGGACCACCTGGACCACCAGGAGAGCCAGGTACTCTATTTATAAACTTGTTCCCATATTTCCTCGGGCGCTAGCAATAACCAGAATTTCCTCATCCAAGTGAAGTGCGTAGACAGCGGTAATAACCATTACTTGTGTATGAGAAATATTGAACGGCCGCCTGTTTCATATAAGGAACCTTACAACCTGCATAATTAAAGGACCTGACGGCCACGACGGAATCCCTGGTGAAGATGGCTCCGACGGAATAGACAATGTTGACATGATGAGAACCAGTGACCTTATTGGATGTATAAACTGCCCACAAGGTAGGTAGGGAGTTCTGTCTTTGTTCTGAAAATACATAGCACGCTCATTCTGAAAATACATAGCACGCTCAACTTCAAGGATTATGTTCCTTGCCGGGTGCGAGGTTTACGGACTAGTGGCCATGGAAGCGTGCCTCTTTTGTCGCGAGAAGGCACGGAGATGGAGGGTAATGGTAGCCGGATGCTGTTTTGGTCTCTACCTATAGCAACAAAACGCAACGTGCTCCACGCAGGGTACAGTCATCCGGTCATCGTGTAGAAATGTACTTGTCAGTACGGGACCGTCTGCTCAAAGGAATGATCTGCGGTACAAACCCGCCATCCTGCCGAAAGATGGTCTCGTACTACACGTCCTTGTCCGCGCCGCCCCCCCCTCCCCAACACCGTACCTACCACTATCCTACAAGTTCCAAGCTTCCTTGCCCAGCGAATACTTTCGCGCTCGCCGCGGTAGGGGAAAATGAATTAGGCAGCATATAAAACGCGAGAATTTCATTTCAGCCTTGCCCACCAGCTTTCCTTACATGTTAATTTCGAAAGTTCTCTCCAGTAAGACTTTACTACTTCGCTCCTGAAATTTTTGAAACTGTCGATCTGTCCCGTGGAGGGCGGGGGGGGGGAGAGGTATACAGCCAATGTAAAACCGGGAAAAACCGCGAAAAGTCACCAACCGAGAAAATTTTTTCCCAACGCGGCAAATTCCTCTCAACCCACATACAACCCCCCCGACGACGACCAAATACGGCCCGCTCTCCTCAGCGGTCAGGTACGACCCACCCCCTGTGTGTTTCACAATGCTGTACCCTGGGTACACGACCAGGCATGCATGCCACTCTAGGCAAACATGATACTTGTCCGCGCCTTCTCAGTTGGGCTGTTCTCTGCACTTGGCCGCGATGGGCAGCTTGTCCTTCATATTGTTCACGCGCTGGGATCGCGCCATAATACATTATTAAAATATATCTACGTACATGCCGCACGTTGTAAGTAGTGGTGAAGAACGAACAGCATCCAGTTAGCACAACTCGCCAGCTCCACTTTAGAGTGATGAAAGTGGCGTAATTCTGCAGCTGCGGGGCTGCCAACCTCGCAAATGGCATGATTCCATCTTCCAGGTAAGCGTACAGCCTCTTCGAGAAATTCCATGACAAAATAAACATAAAAGTGTGGGTGCTGATCAGCCCCCAAGCGAGCGAGCAGGAACCAAGAAACCTCAGAACCAGGCGTTGTCCTCACCTGCTGAATTTCAAGAGTGACTCACTTCACAAAGACTTCACTAAACGTCCTCAAATGAATGGGGGAACTGAAAGAGGTCTCCACTTGACGCTTTACAGTTAGATGAACGCTAGTGAAGAAATAAGTAATAGGGGCAGACGGGACGTCCTAGAAAGGCCCCCAATAGTTGCAATTGATATTATACTTTGTGAGGGCATACAACGGAGAACACC